GAGACAGAGAGAGACAGAGCACAGGTGGGGGAGGGGCAGAGAAAGAAGGAGACACAGAATCTGAAGCAGGCTCCAGGCTCTGAGCTGTCAGCACAGAGCCCAACACGGGGCTCCATCTCACAAACTGTGAGATCATGACCTGAGCTGAAGTCGGACACTTAACTGACTGAGCCACCCAGGCACCCCCCAGTTCTTTTTTTTTTAAACAGCTTTATTGATATAATTAAATACTATAAAGTTCACCCATTTAGAGTATAATTTATTGTTTTTTAATAGTTTTACAGAGTTGTGTAACCATTATCATAATGTAATTTTGGAACATTCTCATCATGTCACAAAGAAACCTTATACCCTAGTCCAAGGCAATTGCAGTAGTATCCTGCATGGTGTATTTCTTCCCTTGCCCCTCTACAGTCTGTTCTTCTTTTTTGTTAATGTTTTATTTATTTTTGAGAGAGAGAGAGACAAAGCATGAACAGGGGAGGGGCAGAGAGACAGGAGACATACAATCCGAAGCAAGCTCCAGGCTCTGAGCTGTCAGCACAGAGCCCAACAAGGGGCTTGAACCCACAAGCCATGAGATCATGACCTGAGATGAAGTCTAACTGACTGATCCACCCAGGCACCCCTATAGTCTATTCTTAGTAAAGAAGCTGAAGTGATCTGTTCAAAACCTACTGAGGATTATAACAAGTGATCTGGTCTCCTTCCCGCTCTGATTTCATCTGCCCCAACTCCCCCTGGCTTACTGTGTTCTAGCCACACTGGCCTTCTTGAATATGCCAAACATGCTCCTACTCAGGGTCTTTGTCCTCTGCTCAGTACCTGTTTCCCCCTATGATGTCCCTATGTCTAACCTCTTTTCAAGTGATTCTGATGATTAGTCAAATGTGGGAACCATCCTATAATGGAAAAATGAAGCCTGATTTTTTTCTCTCCTTTGGGGTTTTATACTGAGTAATTGGCAGGGACTTTTGGTTTTTAAATATTTGAACTTTCAGATACTTTGGAGTCTGATTCCTTACTATGTGCTAGGCACAACTGCTAAATTGATACATTATATCAATTTAATTCCCACAGCAACCCAATATGGTAAGTACTATTCCTATACCCAATTTACAGCTGAGACACTGAGACTTATAAATTGGTTAAGTAATTTGTCCATAGTCATAGAGTAATAAATTGCTGCAGAGTTGCATTTGAACCCAGCTCTGACTTCAAAGCCCAAGTCCATAATCATTTGGCCTTGAAGCAAAATTTAAATAAATTTCATAGATATCCTTCATCCTCAATTGTGAATATTGCAAAATATTGCAAATGGAAAGAGAAGCCCAGAACTTTAAGTGCCCATCGTCTTTTAGTTTCCCTGTAAGAAATGTATGTCATTGGTTTCTCATCCTCAGCTCTATTAGTATTTTGGGCTATGCTGTCTTTGGGGGTGGGGGGCCTGTACTGTGCACTGCAGGACGTTTACTAGCATTCCTGGCCTCTGTCCACTAGGTGCCAGCAGCAGCAGCATTCCCCAGTTGTGACAACTAGAAATACTTCAGACATTGTCAAATGTCCCCGGTATAGAACCACCGTTTTCAACAATTAGACTTCATTTCTCTGTCACTGAGGTATGTCCATTTCCCTAGAGAGATAATGCTGAAACCCTAATGTTTGCAGAAAGGTGATTTATTTAGGGGTGCCTGGGTAGTTCAGTTGGTTAGGCATCCGACTTCGGCTCAGGTCATGATCTCAT